AAGCTAAATGTAACAAAGCCATAGCTAAAAGCTAAATGTAGCAAAGCCATAGCTAAAAGCTAAATGTAACGAAGCCTTGGCTAAAAGGTAAAATGAACAAAATAGTAGCTAAAAGTTCAAAGCAGCAAAATTAGCTAAAATTAGCCAAACGAGAGAGAAAAATACATTAGCAAGACAGTAGCTAAACACTGAAAGTAGCCAAAGATAAAACTGTAGCTGAAGTTCAGTAAAACCTTCCTCCCATTAAGAATCAGGGAGTGACAGACACATGGCGTGTGGTTTCCATGGTTACCAGAGGGAGCCTCTGGCAGCAGCTTTAGCTTTTGCTTCTCTTTTTAAGCTTTTTGTTGTTTTCTAGGTTTAGTTTGTTAAAAAGTGTTTTAATGTGACCCCGCCTCCAGAAGTCCCTGAGCGCCGGGGATTACGTCCTGGAGAAGGACCCGGCCACGGGGATCTGCACCTTCTTCTACGACAGCGCCCCGAGCGGCAGCTTCGGCACCATGACCTACCTGTCGAAGGCCGTGACCACGTCGGTGCAGGACTTCCTGCCCGGCTCCAGCTGCCTGATGCAGTGAAGCATCAATCAAGCCGCACTTCCTGCTCGTTAGCGTGATTAATAATTATTTTATTATCTGTCCTCCGACTGCCGTTTGAATATATATTAACTGAAGTTTGACTCTATTTAAATTAAATTAGTTGTTCCGCCGTGTGCGTCTAAAAACACTTTTATAAAAAGTTTGGTTTATTTAAAGTTTTATCATTTAAAATGTGACAGTCAGCAAATATTATATACNGATCACGCCCACGGAGGTCGGATTTTCTTTGGACTTGCTGAGCTTTGAGCAAAGCTAAGTAACAAGAATTTCTCCTCTTTGCAAAGTGACGGTCAAAAAAGCTCATTCGCTTCTGTTGTCATTGATTTAATGTTCGGCCGGGTTTTGCTGTGTTTCTCTGAGTTCCTAGGTTAAAAAACCCGGACACCTCCTCATCACGCTTTGCTGTGAACTAAATATATTCCAGATTATTCTCAGATTATCCTCCAGGCTCATTGTTGAACTGAAACTGTAAGATCTGTGGATGGTTAGTGTCACATAAACAGATTATAATCCTCCATCCTGACTTGAACGTGAACCAAACTGAAACAAATGAACTGATTTCTTGTCTGAAAACATCCAGTTTGTCGTCTGACTCTAATAAATCATCGTGTGTTTTCACAGCTTAATGTTCTGCTTTTGTGTTTTAGTTTCTACAACAAAACAACCCACCAGGTGTCATGAGTTTGACCTCAGGACAGCAGGAGGGTCAAACTGATGACACAAACAGTGTTTGATGTTTGGCTTCTTTTTCTGTACAAAGAGTCAGAAATTTCATTTTTATTTTAAAATTCTGACTTTTTCAAATCAGAAAAATACCTGACTTCTGATTTTTTTTTTTCAGGATTTGAAAAAAGTTAAAATCTTAGATTAAAGTCAGAATCCTGACTTTATACTATGGTTTGAGTCCATTAATTCGAAGTTTGACTAAATTCTTTAATCTACGGTTTGACTGAGTCCATTAATCCCAAATTTGACAGAGTTCTTTAATACAAGGTTTGACTGAGTTATTTAATCCCAGGTTTGACTGAGTTCGTTAATCTGAGGTTTGAGTTCTTTAATCTTGAGGTTTGACTGAGTTTGTTAATCCCTGGTTTGACTGAGTTTGTTAATCCCTGGTTTGACTGAGTTTGTTAATCCCTGGTTTGACTGTTTGTTAATACAAGGTTTGACTGAGTTTGTTAATCCCTGGTTTGACTGAGTTTGTTAATCCCTGGTTTGACTGAGTTTGTTAATAC